AGAGCCATTCGTTCACCTTTATTTATCCTGGGATCCCCCCAGGCTGTTTAATTTCGGAGCTAAATCCAGGTTGATCCTGCAGCGGTGATATTTCCTGCCCGCATTCCTCCTCTTCTCATTACTTTAGATTAAAAGTGATTTCACTGCAGTCACATCTCGCACTATTTATAGCCGGCGAGAGGGAATATTTCATGTGCGAGCAGGTCGGCTGGCAGGTCCCGCATCGTTGGGAGGCTGGAAATGCAGCTCCAGAGGGAAAATCCCTGCATCTCCAAGGGCTCTGCAAGCAGACGGAGTCCAAACCCATCAGCACGATCCAGATAATAGGATGAGCTTCCCTAATGGAAGCTCATGAGGAGGAGGAACCTCCTAGGAGCCCGGCCTCATCCTCGGATGCTTCATTAATGATCAATGGGCAGCTGCAGCCCCGGTGCTGGAGGTTTATTTTATCCCAAATGTTTAAAGTTGGCCGGGAATGGTGGATTTTGGTCGCTTTGCTGATCTAAAAGGTTGGCTGCAATAAGAGTGGAGCCTCTGGCACAACAGTGCCAAAGAATGGGGCAAAAACCTTCCTAAAAGGCTTCCTAAAAGGCTTGTTGTTTCAATCCAGTGCCCTGGGCATTGAACCAAGGCAGATGAAGGAGGATTTGGAGACCACCAAAGATGAAGCCGTCCTAATGTTGTCAAATCTGGGATACTCCGGAGGAATCCGTGAGCGGAGCAGCCTGATAAAGGCCAGGGCAGGGGGGAGACGAAATGAGCAGCAGAAAATGGGCTGGAATTGGGGATTATCGAGAGTGATTAGGATGGGGAGGGTGGATGGGGCTGCGTGGGAGCCGGGATCTCGTTCCTGGGAGAGCGGGAGCTCGATCCGGCGGGAATGACCCCACAGCCCATGGGAATAGGGCATCTCCAAGCTCCATCCTCCGGGAAGGACTTGGCTCCGAGCCCCCCCACCTTCCCTCCGGCTGCATCCAGGGGCAAACGCCGGAGCTGGAAGGGATGCAATTGGGAAGAGGCGCCGGCAGGATCACGCTCTGGGGCTCAGGGTGATTTAAAGGCAGAACAAGCTGTTAGCATGAACACGGAAAGAGGAGAATTGAATTCTCCCCGGCTCCCGGTTCGGAGGGAGGAACCGGGGGCGAAAAGCGGCTCCTGGAGCCGGCGGTGCCGGTGACTCAGCCCCGCGGCGCGTGCGCTGCATGGGAAGGAGGCTGGGACGGAGCGGAGCCGCCGCCGGCCCCCCCAAACCGTCCCCGATTCACCCCAAAGCGGCGGCTTCTCCCCACTGCCGCGTCGGGGCGTCCGGCTGAGCGATCCCGGGGTCTGCTCCGTGTGGACGAACGGAGCGGGTGGCTCCGAAGCACCGGGAAAGACCTCCCGGCGCCACGAGGATGCTCCAGAGGAGCCGGGTTGGGAGAAGAGAGGATGGGAGCTAATTCATCCTAAGGAGGGAAGCAGCCTGGCCCCGCTCCGCATCCCAAGCTCCGTTTTCCGCCTTGCTCCGGGTGGAAGATGCAACCCCCACCCGGCCCTGGGCTTTCCAGTAATTCCCAGGGTTCCCTCTGTGCCTGCCCATCCCCTGGAACAATCGGAGTTGTTTTGCTCAAATTAAGGATCCCTCCAGGACCATAACCTGGCTCCTGCTCCGTAGATTTACAGCTGCTGGAGAGGGATAAAAATGCTGCTTTGACGCCGAGTGCTCCCAGTAGGAAGCCTTGATGTTTGGGTAATTTTGTTATCCATGCACTAGTGGCCCCCTCCTGCTGGTTTGGCTCTTGCAGCACTTTGCATAATAAATAAACCAAAGGAAGGGAGGAATTTCTGCCCCTTTCATCACCACGAAGGCTCCCGGGACTCAGATGCCTCCGCTGGAAGAGGGCGAAGCGGAGAAGCCGGAGGGATTCCCTGTGTCCTGCTCGGAGAGGGACCAGCGCCAGGTTTGTCACCGGCTCCTGCACAAGCAACGCGTCGCTCTCTGCTCTCTATTTGCACCAAAACACGGCCTGAACGAGCTGCTCCGCTGCATAACAGAGCTGCAGGGAAGGAGAAGCCTCTGGACGGATGATTTTTGTGCCCAAAACATTCAATACG